GTGCCATAAATCGATCAACGAACCGACAATTAGGCGGCACCAATGTCAGTGAACGAACGAACAAACATCCTCAACGTGATCTTCCACCCTTTTATCTCTCTTCCTTCCTCTCTTTCTCTTTCTCTCGTCGTCCCTGAAGCGATGAAAGGGCGCGCGCGCGACCAACACCTTCGACTCCACTCGTTTTTCTATCGGCGTGATTTTGCGCAACTTGATCCAGTTTCGTCGATAGAAAATCATCGTGGACCCTAATGTTTCAACAACAACGACCATTTCGTGTGATCGGCCCGAAGCCGATGATCAAATCGCGAACCTAACCTCTTGCAACGATGAAGAAAGGAGAGAAAAAGAAGAAGAAGAAGAAGAAGAAGAAGAAGAAGAAGAAAAAAGAAACTGAGGCTTGCACCAGCGCAGAGAAACAAACTACGACGAAATCGAGTAACCAGAAACGATAAGTATCGTTCGTTCCGTGAATTCGTGGTCTTTTTGCGGGACCAGCGACACCTGTTTTCGCTTTTCTTGCTCTTCGACTGGCGGACTGGACTTCCTGTTTTTTCGTTAAGTTGGCTTAAGTGTATATAATTTTATAATTTCTTTTTTATTCACTCTTGTGAAACGGTTTGTCAATCGCGGATTTGGTAGTCAATCGGAGGTAATTAATGAAATGAAGATAATTAGAGTTGAATATTAAATAATGATTTTTTTAATCGAGAAGTAATATAAGGTAATGTAAATGGATTTTCACAGTGATTTAAATTTCAAAATGTGCAATAACAATTTCCAAATTATTTTATCGATTTTTAATGAAAGAACAAATTACAAAGTGAAGATATCAAATCTTATTTACAAATCTAATTCACTTAACTAGTCTTCATCCTTAAATTAGTCCCGATTTAAATCTCTAATATCCAACAATCACGAATATATTTTTGTCATAATTCCACACGGTAATACTTATATCTCGAAACAAATTTATCCCATCCAGGATGATAAATATCCAATGAAATGCCCCACGATGCATACAAATTATCATCTCCCCACGCTCAAATTTTCCAATTCTCCATACCGAACCAACAAAACCAACTCCACAACTGCCTGTTATACTTTTCGTTTTTGGTTATTAGCGCGTTTTCAATCACCGCCATTGCCTCACCTTGCGCGGCGATGGAATTTTAATTACATTGTAGTAAAGAGCAAGATTGATGCCACTGCGTATATTAGATGAGATATAAAAATACGTTGTGTAATAAATGCACAGTGATAATAAGCATGCGAAAGACAGTGAGAGTTTGATCGTGCAATATGATGATGATTACGCCGACATTCCTCAGCCACAAATTAATGGAGACACTTTGACGCGTTCCTCGATAATGGATTATCGATAACGGAAATGATCCAGTTTATTTGAATTTGTAACAATAACTATAAATAGAATTCGATTCAATTGAAATATTGTTATAATTAAATTGTTATAAAATAAATTGTTCGATTGTATTCTGTAGGTTTTTTGATCGCTGCATTTGTGGAAAAGAAATTTGTATTTTTATTGCACGTGTTTCGTAACATTTCATTTGTAATTTTTTTGTTTAAATCAATCGTAATTATTGAGTTTTATTTTCTAACATTGTGTTTCCATTATGATTTTATATAATCAATGAAAAAAAAATATTTATATTTTAACAAGATATTATTCGTTCGTAAATTATATTTTTTTCAAATCATGGAAATTTCTTTCTGTTTTACCTTTATGATATTGATTGCACATGTAAATTATTTTGTTTGATTTTTGTTTTTTTTTTTTTTCAATTACGTTACACAACAATTATGTAACATTTCATTAGTTAGTATATAATGAGTTGAGGATTTTAATTATAATTTCACATTTCCAAGATGAGTAAAAAATTTGAGTGATGGACAAGGATCCTTGAATTATTCTCTGGCATTTCGCTGGACGAGGTTTTTATATCTGATGCAATCTCGCAAAACTTTTAATAATAAAGTGTTCAGGAAGTCGAAGAATGCTATGAAGAATCTTATAATACACGTTCTATTAGAGTTTTCTATTTATCGATTACGTTATATGGTGAACATTTATGAAAACAATCGTAAAATTATTTCACTGGAATAATGACATAATAATATTCATAAAATTAATATTAATTATTTCACACGTTCGAAGGATATGATTAGCAATAAATCGACTATATTTTAATCTATCATTATTTAATAATGATTACATATTTTTAAAAGAAATCTTCTCATACTATTTTCCATACTGACTATCATATATAAATTTCATTTCAATATCATAATTATAATTTTCTTTTATTTTCTATCGTTAACTAAAAGTATTAAATAATCCTTCGATGCTTCGAAGTTAAAGATTCTCCAAAATCCTCGCCTCGACATTCACCTTTCGTCTAACTTATCATTACCAAGGAAACCGTAGCACATTAATCAAAATGATACATCGTGTTTCGTACGGGCAAAAAATGAAAAAAAAAGTGTTGCCAATTCCGACAGGATTAATCGTTACAAATATTCGTGAGGATTAATGATAGTAACGATTCATTTTTAATGGTAATTTTTATCAGGAAAGAAAGCAGACAGAGAAAGTAAATCGATATTCGGTTACCGATTTATTTCAGAATCAACCAATTGTTGTGCTAATTCTATGAAGTAAGTGCTTACCCGCGTGCGTGACCATAGATAAAGATCTACTTTCGCCATCTGTGGTAACGGGATAAAATTGGCCGTGGTAATTTTGAACGAAAGTGAATCGATGAAACGGAGAGTTTTCGATTTTCTTCCCCACATTTCCAAACAATCCCATAATTTAAATCTTCTTTCAAACCCTTTAAAATTTATTACAACTCTCATCAAACAACCTACAAATTTTCGTCTCACATTTACTTAACAATAAAAATCACATATTCGAATGGCCCAATTAAATTTTCCATATAAAAGTATCGCAATTCGATTTGAAAAATAATAAAACAAACACCTATAATTAGAGACCCGAATTTTCGACGATCCATATACAATTTCTAAATTAGAAATCGCTTCAATTTTTCACACGCGTGATTAATTATAAATACTCATAATTCGAAGGTAATCCATAATTTGAGGGCTCGGTTTTTCCATCGCATCTGATGTGTGCGATTCCAGGCCTCGGTTTCGCAACGTGGATCGACCGTCCTCGGACATCCGGGTGGCGAACGGGTCTCGATCAATTGTTATACACTGTGGCTGGCATTTAGCCGCGCGCGACTCGCGTCTGCACTGTTGCCGCATTAATTTGGTACGGTGCGTTGCGGTAGGATAGCTCACGGAAAAGAAGTTGCGCAACCCTATGCTGTTTATGCGCTCGAGCGCTGCGCCTGTACAGGCTGATCTTACAGCTTTAACTAGGTTGCGAATATCTGTTTCCAAGTTTGGATTTATCTTTCATTTTTTTTTTTTGAAATGACAAACGAAAAAGACGAATACAATAAATTCAAAGTGGAATAAGAAACTTTGAAAATACGAATCCGCGCGAATAAGTTCTGAAGGAATGAAAAGTGAGGTTATTTTAATGGAGAAAGATATTTTAATATTGTTTTAATATTTGCACGAAAGAAATTTTGCATTCACGATTTAATTCCGCGAGGAAATTTTTTTACAGGAAAAAATCATTCTATCGTTCGTCGATTCGTAGAAAAATGTTTTCTTATTAAAATCAACGTACGTATTTATTTTATGGATCAGTAATCATGTTAAAATAATTGTCTATAAAATAATTACGTGAATATATAATATTCGTATGTTACATCATTCAATTACTTTAAATCAACTAGGAGTATTATAATAATACTCATTTATAAAGCGCAGATTGAGGTTATGTTTTCACTTTCATAAATCGTAGGCGGTGAACGATCGTGGTAGAATCGCGACAGCAATCGCAATAAGAAAGATGTGCCTCCTTCAAAAAGATACGTAACTTGAATCTTCAAAAAAAAAAAAGTTATCACTTCTTCGTTTAAATCACTCTATAGAAATTAAACCACTTAAACTAGCCCAGCCTCTCCTTATGTACACACAGTGTCCATGCAACAAAGCCTCTGATCCCCACATTCTTCCCCTCTCTGCCACTCTGTCTATCTCTCGATCTCTCCATCCTCGTTCTATCTCTACCCAGCCGGTTCGGTTTCTCCTTCTCCCTCTCGATCCCTCTGTCTCCGGTATTATACGTGGCGGCTGATCGGTGTACCAACGGCTAGCTGGATTTATACACGGCCACGGTGCGTTCCCACGCCTGGTACACGCGAGAGAGACCTGGCTCTTCGGCCTAATGCCCGTATGGTACCGATCCTAAGAAAACTGGTGGAAAATCTGGGACACGGCGTCGCGGTATGCGCCATTGTCCCGCGATTCTATAGGTTTCGATATCTTGGTTAGGTTAAGCCGGTTCCATTGGTCGCCCTCTGGCGTTTTTTGCAACCTTGCTCGGCGATCGAGCTCTACTCGGTGACTACTCGGTTTTGTTTCCCTCTCCGTTTGCATTTACGGATGTTTATGCAAATTTCTTAGAATCTTGTTTCTACAATGCTTCGTAGAATACTCGGTATTTCTCTCAATTTCTTTTTTCTTTTTCGTTTTTTGTGATCCATTATATTTGCTTGCAACTACGACACAAATTTTTATAACATTTGGAAATGTCTGAGGAAGATTGCAGTCGTATTTCGAATATGTTTCGAGTGGTTCAAGACAGTTAAGATTAAGGCATTTATAATTCTGTTAAAAAATATTTATTTGATAGTCTACTATACATAAAAAGAAAGTGAAATCTCTCTTCTTGATTTTTTTTTCTTGTATCACTTTACAATTGTTACTTTATTTCCTTTTCTGTCCCCATCTCATCTTATCGAATCTTTCCTCCTCTCTCTTCCTTCTGTCTCTTTCGTTTAAGAGGAATAAAATTTTAGAACAGTTACTTACCAAGAATCCAATATTTTTTTCAGGTCGAACCCCGAACTCAAGGATGCCGTGGGTGAGGAGACAAATTATCCACCACCACTGAAACCCACCCCTTGACCGCCTTAAAACGAATACTGCCAGCCGCGTAAGATCATCGATATCGAAACGAAGCGTCGCAACCGATCACCAGGACGAAGCACCAAACCTACCCCATGGATCTAACCGAGGCATTCGCCCCGGGAGGGGGTGGAGAGGAGCTGCCAAAGACCGATTTCTTCGACTTCGTCGTCTCTCCACCTCCCCACTGCGCCTCCGCAGATGGCGTGTCGGACGAAGAAAGCTTCCTCCATCGCACCACCTGCCGAAGCATCGGCTACCTTCAACAAGGTCACGAGGAACACGAGACCAGCCGGGAACTCCATGGCTCCCCATTCATCAAAGAAACCAACAACAACACACTGACAGCTTTACCACCTGTCTCAACTATCACCAGCTCCCTCAGCCACCATCATCACCACCACCACGTGAGGACGCATCACAGCGCTTGCAACGTTCAACAGAGCAACGAGCAGACACCGATGGACCAATCCGACTGCGACTATTGGGGCACGGACGAGAGCAAAGAGCAAACCTGTAACATACTCCTGGAAGATCTGAACAAATACTGTTGGTCGGCTCACGCGAACGCGCAGAGCCACGGAAACGACAACGTGAACGTTCACCAGGGTTCGAACGAGCATCACCAAGGGGTGGGTCGAGGATGCTCGGCCAACGACAGACAGAACACCGACGGCGCGATATACACTCTCACCGTGTTGAACAACGAGGCCAACTCGATGGATGCCTTGGACTGTTGCAAGAGTCCTGCGCCCACGTCCAGCGACTCCTGGTCGCTCAGACCTAACCTAGATCTGGACGCTATACTGAGCATGGAACCAGCTTCCACCGAGCAGGAACACGACCAATCGAATACCGTGACAGAGGTTTCGCGGACGGTGAACGACAGGTTTCACCCGGACCGTTTCTCCGTTGCATCGTCGCAGTACGCCACCGACGACAGCGGCTTCGTCGAGAGCAAGGAGCTCTGCGGCCGAGGGGCGTCCAGCGGCGGCAATTGTGCCGGGGGCGACAACAACAACGATTGGAAGCTTTCCGACCAAAATCTACAGGAGGCTGCAGCCGCTGCCGCGGCAGCTGTCGCGGTCGGCGCCGGCGACTCTGCCGAGAGCCTTCTCAGGAGCGCTCTCCAAGGCAAACTGTACACCGGCCCGACCCAAGTGGTGTCATCCTCGTCGCCGACCACTCAAGGCTCCGCTATATCGATGCCCGTCACGAGCAACGCCGGCTTGCAGATAGTCTCTGACCAACAGCAGCAGCAGCAGCAGCAGCAACAGCAGCAACAGCAACAGCAGCAGCAACCTCAGACGCAACAAGACGAATCCATGCATACATGTACCGATGAGGATTTGTTACTCTCCCAACTGGACCAAACGACCTATCGTCCTGGAGATTACGAGAAGCTAAAGAGCATAGCCAACGAGGTAGTGGAGTCTTACTGCAGCCTGGAACCGGTTTGCAACGTGTCTGCAACGACCACGGTTATGTACACGTTGGACCCGACCAGTGGTAGCCTCGGCACGATCACGCTGCCCGCGGATCTGGGTCAAGTGAGCACGGTTACGGTGGTGACAGCGGCTCAGCAGGAGGTTCTCCAGCAACAGGCCGCCCCTCGAACGGAGGTTGAGCAGCAACAGTCCACCAACCAGCTTCAAATAACTCCCTCGAGAGTCGTCACGACGAAAGCCCCGAAAAAGTACTGTCGACGCACCAACAGGAATAGCAACAACGCGAACGCGGCCAGCAATGGAAGCAGCGGTTCTGAAACAGGTGGGAATACGAGTGGGCAGCAACAGGGTGGCTCGGGCGGCTCGCCGGGCAGCGTTCAACGGAAGGAGCGCTCGTTGCATTATTGCAGTATCTGTAGCAAAGGTTTCAAGGACAAGTACAGCGTGAACGTTCACATCAGAACGCACACAGGCGAGAAACCGTTCGCCTGCTCCCTGTGCGGCAAGAGTTTCCGGCAGAAGGCCCATTTGGCGAAGCACTATCAGACCCACGTGACGCAGAAGCCCAGTGTTCAGCAACAAGCGAGCGGCAGTGGCGCCAGTAACAACGGGAACAGCGGAAATCCAAGCCCATCTGGCGAGACGAGCGGCACGACAACGGGCACCGTGACGAACAGGAGTCAGTCGCACCAGGTGTCGGTCGATCCCGCGGGGAACGCCTGTAATCCACCTAGTTAGTCGCGTTGGATGGGCCAAACAATCTACTTCCGGTTCCCAACGTCCAATTGGATTGCAGTTAATCCTTGCTACTCCATTTATTCTAATTCCCGGTGGCACGGTGCGGAAAGTGGATCGGCGATTTTGCACGTGATGGTGATGGTCAACGAAAGGATACACCGTGCGAGTCTTCCTTTTTTTTTCTTTTTTTTTTTCCCCCTACTCTCTCCTTTATCACTCTCTATATATATCTATTTCTGTTCTCTGTTCTCGCTTATATCTCTCCGTTCTTCTTCTTCTTCTTCTTCTTCTTCTGTTCTAATAATTTCCGTCCATCGATCAGAATCTTCGTTCGGTTCGAGAATTCGGGATGATTTGACGACGACTGAAGAAGGATCCCGGCAAAGAGCTAACCATGACTAACGTCGAGCATCATGAGATCGATTAAAGTATCGATTAGTATTAATTTTTTTTTTTTTTTGGAAATTATCTCGCGATCTCATCTTAGAAGGATAATATCAGGACCGTTCTTTCGCCGGTCTGGATATTTATTTCAGTTGCATCTCGGATAGCACAGAGACGTTTTATGGGCGTTTGGAAAGATGTCTGGAAAAATTTATAAAGATAGAAATTAGAGTTTAATAATTAAAAATCAAAAAACGTTTATCCGTGAAAAATTATTATCAATAATATTTTCTATCTAAAATATTTATACGTAATTTCTCAAGTTTTAGAATTGTTCATATCTATCTCATTATAGTTCGAATCGTGGAATTCTAAACGGTGCAATTCGAGCGAGAACTTTGAACTCCATACGTTTTTTGTAGAAGAAAATAATTAATGCAGTGACATATTTATCATTTTTTCTCTCTTATAACACAATAAAAATAATTATATCGTGAAACATTGTCGAAGTAAAAACAGGTAAAAATTTGTAAAATTTTAAGACGTTCGAGGTTTAAAACGAGCGTGGAATAGACATCTTTTAGACGTCGTGTGCTGTCTGGGACGAGTTGCACGCAGCGGTGCTCACGAGTTATGCGAGAAAGCGCGAGCTGGTAACCGCTGGTAGCCGCAGAGATCCCACGAAGAATTTAACGAGCCACACTGTAGAACATTCCTTCGGACGCTTTCTTTTCTGGGCGTTCCCGATCGTACCCTTGTCTTGCGCGTAAGAGCGATTTATCAATCGCGGAAAACCGTCCGTAGAATCGCGATCGGATCGCGGTTTATCGTGAATTTATCCATGGGAGTGCAAGGAGGAGGTTCTCGGATGACCTTTGTTGCATGGCTGTTGTTCCTATCGCCAGTCCAAGTTTCCGTAATATTATTCTATGATTGTGATGCCAATATTAATTCCGACCCGTGTTTATGCCGCGGTCGGAAACTTGAATTGGCGATGCTCGTGAGAAAAGTGAATTAAATCGATATTAAATCGTTACGATCGATCGATAAGTTCCGTCGATAAGTTCACGATGATATTATAGGTTAAGGAGGCGAGCAGAGATCGCCATTTATTTTTTTATTCTCGTGATTAATTATTTCTCGTTCGATGTCAATTGGCCGAGGCCGTTCGAAGGAAAGTGATAAAAGTAGTAGTAAAATGATTAAAAAAAAAAGAAGAAAAAGAAATAAATAACAAATGAAAGTGAAAAAATGGAAGAAGGGGGGATAAGAAAGTAGCGAACTGCCTTCAAACTGGTCAATTGATTTCGGACGAGGTATATATATCGAATCGTCGATCGACAGTGGGTGCACGATACGATTCAGGTCGCGATACGAGACTTGGTGAAATTGTTGTTCCTAAGACGACTTATTGCTGTTTCAAAACGAGGGACCACGTCGACGATGATAGCGCACAATTGATCGATATTTAATACCGCTACGAGATATTAACGTTGATGATATTTTTACAAAGAAGATTCTTCCTCATCTTCTTGCTCTTTCCATTTCTTCTTTTTCTTCTTCTTCTTCTTCTTCTTCTTCTTCTTCTTCTTCTTCTTCTTCTTCTTCTTCTTCCTCTTCTCTTCTTATCTTTGTTATTATTTTTCTCTCTCTCTCTCTTCTTTTTTCTTTGCATACATACGTATACATACACATACACACACACGCACACACACACGCACACACACACACACACACACACGTTAGACTAGAGGAGGTAACGTAGAATCGGTAAGTAATCAGAGAGAGAGATATATAATGTTTAGAAGTAATTAGTAGCACGAGCTGTGATTTAGATACATACTCAACGCGCGAGGGCCACGATCGACCCTGGTTCACAGGCGATCGCGTGTCACGCCGTCTGTTATTCGTAAGAGAGTGAAAGCGAGACCGTTGAAACGCACGATTTTGCGAAGAATTTAACCTTCGATACACAGTGTTAGAGCCGGATCGTTATGCACGAACCTCCTTCGGATCCTATGGAAATTTCCCTTTCAGCCAGATTCCGTCGAGTCTCTGGCTCCCTCTGTCGCCTGTTCCTTTTTTTCTCTCCACCATACTCTGCCAATTTTTGGCGGGTCGTTCGAATACTGCCTGTGAGATTCCACGATGTAAAGAACCGCGCCGTTTTTTTCTTTTTCTTTCTACTTTTTCTATTTTATCCTTTATTTCATCCACATTTTGGAAAACATACGAAGTTTTCAATCAATGGATCAAATTTGCTCAACGTTAATGGGTTTCTCGTTTCGATTTACGAAAGAATTGGATGATTTGTCGATTCTTTCTCATCTCGATCGCTCAGAGATATATATAATGATTGAAAGGAAAGAAC